ATGTTGGTTGTTGTTGATCAGGTACATAGCAGCGGCTATTGGCTCTTGCCATGTGGGTGATGTTGTAAAAGTTACAGTTATGACTGGGTTGTATGGGCATGGTTGCTGTCCCTTTTATCTCCAAGAGTCACTGGTATGCCTCTGCAATACCAACATGCTGTCTTGTCTCTAGAGCTGCTCACCAATGTTTAGAATAGGTGTGTGTCTTCTGGTTGACCCGCATAGGTCACCATTCTGTCTCCTTTTGTTTGCCACATCTGTTCAGCTTCCTTTCCTTGTTAGCATTCAATCTACTTCTCAATCCCTTAATCTGAAGCTCAGGTTTCCAGGACTATCATCTCCATCTGCTTCATTTAGTTTTCCTTATTTTTGTGATAAAAAGTCTGTGTAGCATTTCTTCCTAGTCTGCCATCTTGCTGCTTTTCCTAGACCCTAATTGCTTTTGGTAAAAATATTTTAATTGTGTTTTCTGATGAAAGTTTGTATAGCAAGTCAGATTCCCCTTCCATTTTTTTAAAAAGAGAAATTAAATTTCACTACCTTTCCTTTTGAGAGAAAGGTGAGCCTTTCTACTCCCGTAAATATTTATATCTTCAGAAACCCTGTACAGGGTCACAATGAGTCGTAGCCAACTCCACGGTACATGACAACCACCACCACCGTTCCTTTGTCATGCTTCTAACAACTGTTTAAAATATAGTTCTCTTTACCAACATAAGAGAAATTACAACCGTATTTGGCTAGTATTCTGAGCTTAGTGCTAGTAAGCAAAACAACTGTTTCTCAAAAGGAAAAAGTGATATTAAATGAAAGAGCGGATGACGATAAATGTCAATTTAAGCACAAATGAATAACTGGTATTCCATAATGATATTCTTTCTCTTTAGAAATCTATCATTCTCTGTGTTACAGGAGGGGCATGTTCTGTAAGCTATAAGCTTCCAAATTTGATAACTTTTTCTTTACAATGAACTATGGATATATTCTCTTTTTCCATTATACACACCAGCCTATGCAGTATGGCACATTGGCAGAGCATTAATTTTGAAAACTGGACACAATTCCCAATTTGTCAACTTCAGATTTTCTGATTTTAATATAAAAGCTGGGTAGACATACCTGCCACACTTTGAAAAGCATAAAGTACCATTTTGTAAATTGAAAGTACCATGTAAGAAATAGAAAAATTGTCATTTTGTGGTAGAATTATCACATTGCTGAAGAAACGAAACCACTTTTGTGACTACATGTTTAGGTGTAATTTGATCCCTCCATTACCCTATACCCCAAAATATCTGTGTCCTTACAGTCCAGGTTTAATTATTACATTTCTTCGTATGTCTCAAGAAGAAAAATAAAGATAATGAGTAAGCAAAGTGGCAAATTAAATCTACAGATTGACAAAGATATGTTCTATTGCAATGCTTCTGTTTTTGCAACATCAAGTCTAGTTTCATTTTCTGGTGTAGTTAAAGTGATGTGGGAGGCTTCCCTGAGACTAGAGGACATTGACCTTTGTAAGGAAATATTCCTGGTGCTGAAAGGAATAGGGTGGAGTGAACATACACCTACGCAGAGGCAGGAAGCCTTACAGGTGAGGAAGAAAAAGAGATGAAACCCTAAAAGCAAATGTGTTCATTTCCAGGACCAGTTCTTGAATTCTAAAGTTTTTAAGCTCATTGGCTCTCTCAGTAACACACAGGCTGCTAAACTAGTGTTTCAGATCGGGGTTAGTGGTAAATTCACCCAGAAAGAAATGGCTCTGTGCAGTCATAAAACTGGCTTTTCTTCTTTACAAGGGAGTTTCAGATAGCTTATTTATCAAATTTTTACTGAATATGAATATCATTTCCCAATCCTGCAAAGCAGGTCAAAATTCCTATATCTTACCCTCACAGTAAATCAATTATGCCTACTGGACACTCCTTCCATACTTTGGCAATTTGCTGGGCTTGGTTTTATATGCTGTGAATCAGGTTCGTTGTCATCCATAGTGTTTTAGAGGAATCTGGGAAAAGCTAGGCAAGCACAAACATGGTGCCACTCTGAAGTGGCTGCCTACGAGAGTGGACTAGGCAGGAGACTGGCCAAAGTTAACATCACTCTCCTTTCTATGTTCAGTTGTCCTCACTTATCAAATGGAATATTAGAATTTATTCATTCCGATGGCCTCTCTACCCCTGACATATTATATATTTCATGGTTCTATCTCTGCAATACATTTTATAGGCAGAGTATTTTGGTTCTTTCCTTCTCTTCCTAAACTTACTATAATTTAAGTAAGATTCTTCATAAAACCTACAACTATGCTTCCGTGCAGAATCCACAGATATTACTTACAAACCCTACTGGTTTCTTTGCTCCTGGTACAGATGTTTATTTCATATTGTTTCAAATGTGGCTCTAAATAATTAGAATGAAAGGGACATAAATAACATTTTGATATCTAGAATAATTCACAAGCAATGAACTGTGTGAAAAATATTTACTGAATCAAAGATGAAATAGTTTGGAAAAGTTTTTTTTTTTTTTCTGGAAATTACCAAATCTCCTTGTCTCTTAAAAATAAAAGTACGTCCATTTTCCTATGAGATTTTGGAAGGGTGCATGACTGATTATCATTTGTTTGCAGCTTTAAATCATAATAAAACATTAGATTATTTAGCTATTTGAGAGCAAATATTTTTAGTCTGAGATTTCCGCTTTTAAATGTAACCAATAGAATTGCCCAGTCATTGTCCAAATACAGCTACAAATAGCATAGTGGTTACAAGTCATGTTACTAACCTCTAGGTCAGCAGTTTGAAACTACCAGCTGTTCCATGGGAGAAAGATGAGGCTTTCTGTTCCCCTAAAGATTTATAGCCTTGGAAACCCTATACAGGGTCACTGTGAGTCCGAACTGACTCCATGGCACACACAAACTACCATATAGTCCCCAGGTGTGGCAGTGTGGGTTAATGTGCTAGATTGCAAAGTCAGTTTGAACCACAAAGTCAACCACAAAGTTCAAGCTCACCAGCCACTCCTTGGAAATGCTATACAGGGTCGTTATTGGTTGGAACCAACTCGATGACACTTAAAAACAGCAACAATATTGTGATTGTGCAGGAGACCTGGTGACACTGTGGTTAAGTACCTAGCTGCTAACCAAAGGTTGGCAGTTGAAACTCACTGGTAATTCCACAAACAGGAAAAAAAAAAAAAAATACAACAAAAACTTGGCAATCTTCTCCCATAAAGATTTACATCCTAGGAAACCTTATGAGGTAGTGTCTCCTCTGTCATATAAGGTTGATTGCTCTGAGTCAGAATCTAAATAACATGTGGTTATGAGCATTTTTCACTACAAGTAATCACAACCTCCCCTTACTCCCCCAAAGTGATGTCATTGTCAGGGAGGACCAAAGCGTATGGTGGTAGAAAAGGCTGTGATTTGGATGCAGCCATCAGGTGCCAGAATCTACAAATCCTATATATTTTCCTCTGAAATGGATGAGCTCAGGGGATGAGTTAGGCAAATCAGTAGCATATAAGGTCTTCCAGAAAGCATTTCCCCACTGTTCTCATCATTCTCTCAGGAAATCAACTCTGTTCCTTCAGGAGATAGGCTGCTAAGAGCTCTAAGAGGACAGGAGGGAGAATATGAAAGCTCACTCAAATGAATGCCTCCCCATTGCCTGCAGAATGAAGCAGACATCTGAGGCTCCCACTCTCTATGTAGCATAGTGGTTATGAATCGGGCTGCTAACTTCAGGGTCATCAGTTTGAAACTACCACCTGTTCTGCGGGAGAAAGATGAGGCTTTCTGCTCCCATAAAGATTTACAGCCTCAGAAACCCTGTACAGGGTCACTATGAGTCGGAACCAACTCCACAGTCCTTAACAACAACAACTCCTTATGCTCCTATTCACAGCCTCACACACACTCAGGGTAGGAGGAAATGGGATCACAGAAGTAGCAGGGAGTCAGACAATGAAGGGCCTTGATGAAGAATAGTTTCTGAGCAAAGAGTGACAGTATCTGCCTTATATTTTATCCTTTGTGTTCTCAAACCCACTCTACATTTACAGCCTTCTAGCCTCATTCACTCCAAACTACCTCCCCAAGCATCCCTGTTCACAACAATCTTATTGTGCCTTTAATGTCCAACTCCAAAGCCTCATCTACATGACACTGCAGCTATTCATAGTCCCTGCCACTGGTTTTGGGACTCACATTGTCCTATCTTCTTAGTTAGCTTGTTTTATTTCATTTTTCTACCTCTAATAAAGGGTAAATTCTTTGAAGACGTATGTTTGTACCTCACTGTCCCCTCATCCATTGGCCCAAAGTAATAGCTTAGACTTAAGTTTCAGCTTTTGCCATTTTCTGCCTATACTGACTCTGAGGAATTAGGCGGCAGAGTTAGATATGTTCTGATTTGCCCCAGGTGGATTATAGCTGTGAAAGAGGTCAGGTACTTCCTCAAGCTCCTCAATTTGGCTGTAAACCCTCAGCCATATGACAGACAGTTCCCAGCCAATAACTGTTGTCAAGTTCAACAGTTCAAGTCTATTCGCACTTCCAATAATGCAATGAGGAACAATATCCATATTTTTTTAAAGTTAAGACCAAATTGCTATCTCAAAAAGGTTTATTTTTCTGAATAAACTGCTTTGGACACAGACACCTGCTCTGAGTTTCAGACGGAATTCTCCCTGCTTCGTAACACTGCAGCTATTCATGGTCTCTGCCACTTGTTTGGGGGACTCACATTGTCCTATCTTAGTTAGTTGGTTTTACTTCATTTTTCTACCTCTAATAAAGGGTAAATTTTTTAAAGATGTGTTTTTGTACTTTACTGTCCCCTCATCCACCGGCCTTTGATCAAAATGTTCTGATGATATATGACTCATATAGCTCTTTCTCCAAATGTCCAGTGCAAATGAAATACAAAATAAATAAATAAATAACAGAGAAGGATACTAAAGCTAACCTTCTGCCTCTGTTATAATAGGATTTTGTGCCACTGTATCAAGACTTTGAGAATTTTTACACAAGGAACCTTTATATGCGAATCAGAGACAACTGGAACCGACCCATCTGCAGTGCCCCAGGACCTCAGTTCGATATAATGGAGAGGGTGTCAGATGACTACAACTGGACATTTAGGTAAGGCAGTCACCAGGAAGGACTCTGCTTAAAGAACATTATTTGCAAGGATATACCAGCAAGGGCACTAGATTTCCGATCTTAAGAAATTAAGAACAAGGACATGTAAACATCTAGTCTTCCACTCTTTAGCCTTTGCAAGTCCTCATAATGCCAATGTAAGAGGTCACAGTAATTAAATTGCTAAGGGCATGGTTTTAAATTGCGATTAAAGTTCAGTATATGCTAGCAGATGAAGAACTTGACATCGATCCAGCCAAGAGGTGTCTGTCCTGTTTAGTGTTACTGATGTTGTTGTTATGTGCCATCGAGTCGGTTCTGACCCATAGTGACCCTGTACAGGGTTTCCAAGGGTTGTAAATCCTTACCGGAGCAGAAAGCCTCCTCTTTTTCCCCAGAGCGGCTGGTAGTTTCGAACTGCTGGCCTTAAGGTTGACAGCCCAATTCGTTACCACTACGCTACCAGAGCCCCTTGTTTTTTTACTTCTCATTGATGGAGAAAGGGATGGCCATTGCTTTTGCTCACTTAGAAAGTTTGCTGGAATTAAAACCAGGCTGCAAGCATCATGAAAGCAAGTGCTTGAGGAAAATAAGGGCTTTGTTAGGCTTTGGCTACCTCTCGCCAATGTTCTACCAAGCTTCAGTATGAATTTATGATTCTCTGCACCACTAAGCATAAGGTCCTTGGTTCAAACCACCAACTACTCTTTGGAAATCCTATACAGGGCCTCAGTGAGTCAGAACCCACTTCACAGCACTTAACAACAACAACAACAACAAAGATAGCCATGTTATGGTAAAAACAAATAAGGAAGGAAGCAATGTAAGGGAGAAAGAGAAGGAGGCAGGGCAGGATGAAGGGTAGAGAAATAATGTATGATTTCAGTCAGGCTCGGGGGTCTCTTTGTGAGAATCTTTAACAGGACTCTAGGTGGTACTCTGGTAGTGTAGTGGTTACCAATTGGGCTGCGAGCCGCAAGGTCAGCAGTTCAAAACTACCAGCTGTTCTGTGGGAGAAAGATGAGGCTTTCTGCTCCTGTAAGGATTTATAGCCTCAGAAACCCTGTACAGGGTAACTGTGAGCCAGAACCAACTCCACGGCACATAACAACAACAACAAAAGGTGGTGCAAACAGTTAAATACTTAACTACTAACCAAAAAGTTGGTGGTTGAAACCATCCATAGATACCTCAAAAGAAAGGCCTAGAAATTGACTTCTAAAATGTCACAGATTTGCAAACCCCATGGAACACAGCTATGCAGTTATACATGGGGTCATCATGAGTTAGAATTAATTTTACAGAAAGAGACTTGTTTGTAGTCCTTTGGTTCTGTTGCTAATTTAGACTAATATTAAAGGGGAATGTGCTTTTTGCTCACTTGCCCCCATTTCTGCAGGTTTACTGGAAGAACCATCAAAGATGTCATCAACATGGGCTCCTATAACTTCCTTGGCCTCGCAGCCAGGTATGATGAATCTATGAGGACAATAAAGGAGGTTTTAGAGGTATATGGCACAGGTGTATCCAGCACCAGACAGGAGATGGGTATGTATAGTTCCTATTTTGCTACTTTATCCAACTGGTTCTAAAATTCCTTGTGCTGACTGTCAAATCTAGTTCATATTTCAACTGAGCATCTTAAAAACTACTGTAAGGTACGAAAAGGAAAGAAAAAAAAAAAGTTATGAAAGTCTTTATAAAAATTAGCATTCATTGTGCCTCCTCCAAGTCATTTTCTGTCTCTTTATCCCATTTTTTAAAATGGCATCTATCACAGACTAAATTGGCCTTGCCTATATTTATATATTGCCTGTCTACTCCACAAAAAATGTAAGTTTTGTGACTAGAGAGGCTTTGTTGACTACTTACTGTCAGTACCTAGGGCAGTGCCTGGTGCATGCTACCCAAATCAAAGCCAATCCATTGTTGTTGGGTCAATTCCATCTCAGGGTGACTGTATCTGACAGAGTAGAATTGCTACACAGAGTTCCACAGCTATAAAGCTTAATGGAAGCAGACTGCTACAACTTTCTCCCACAGCAACTTGTGAATTCGAACCACCAACCTTGTGATTAGCAGCTGAGTACTTTAACCACTACATCACCAGGGCTCCATTTCACTTAGTTGTTGTTGTTAAGTATCATCGAGTCAGTTATGACTCATATAGACCCTTTATAGCGTTTCCAAGGAGCAGCTAGTGAGTTTGAACTGACAACATTGTAGTTTGCAGTCTAGTTCACAAAGCAGATGTTCAATCAAGAGCTGTCAGTGAATGAATAAATACATGAATGAACAAAGTAGAACAGACTGCCTGCTTATCTCTCTTTTAGTTAAATTTCTTTTCTCTTAGTGGGATAAAATTCTAAGACGGAGGCATCTTCTTCTCTCCACTCTAGAGAAAAAGATCATGCAAACTTCCTCTTTCAAACTCTCAGAATCATGCTTAATCCTAGCTCACAGTTACCTGCACTAAAATGAACTGATCAACATTCAATGATTTCAGGAGTTAGTATATGATCAACAGCCAGAAGTATTGAAGAACGAAGTCTAAGTTGCAGTGAAGGCAGTGGGCAAAAAAAAAAAAAAAAAATCCAGGTATTTAAGAAATACCAATTGATTGGTTTCAACAAATGGATGTAACACTGGGAAGACTCACTTGTCTATGCCATGAAATTTGAAAGAAATCTTATTGGCTAACTAACTGGAGGAGATCCATTCTATGCCCATTCCAAAGAAGAGTGACCCTACAAAATTCAGAAATTATTAAACAATATTATTAATATCACATGCAAGTAAAATTTGTCTGAAGATTATTCAAAAATGGTTACAAAAATACACTGACAGGAAACCACCAGAAATTTAAGCTGGATTCAGAATAGGACATGAACAAGGGATATCATTTCTGACATTAAATGGATCTTGGATAAAAGCATAGAATACTACCTGTATTTTGTTGTCTATGCAAATGCATTCTACTGTGTGGATCATAGCAACTATAGATAATATTGCACAAGATAAGAATTCCAAAACACTTAATTTTGTTCATTGGGAAAACTGGACAAATACCAAGAGGTAGTTGTTCAAATAAAATAAGGGGATACTACATGGTTTAAAATTAGGAAAGATTTGTCGAGGTTGTATCCTTTCACCATATTTACTCAATCTGTATCCTGCACAAATATTCCAAGGAACTGGACTACATGAAAAATAACGTTGCATCAGGATTGGAAGAGGACTTATTAACAACCTACAATATGCATATTATACAACCTTGCTTGCAGACTCGAAGCAACTATTGATGAAGATCAAACATTGCAGGCTTCAGTCTGGATTGTACCTCACTGTAAAGATCACAAAATCCTCACAACTGGACCACTAAGTCACATCATAATATATGGCGAAAAGATTGAAGCTGTTAAGGATTTCGTTTTACTTGAATCTGCCCATGGAAGCAGCAGTCAAGAAATCAAATGACATAATTGCATTGTACAAATTTTCTGGGGAAAATATCTTTAAAGTGCTAAAGAGCAAAGATGTCAGTTTGAGAATTAAGGTACTCCTGACTCAAGACATACTTTGGACTCCAGTATCTGGAAAAGGACATCTTGCTTGGTAGAGGGTCAGAAAAAAAAAGAGGAAGACCCTCAATGAAATGGATTAGCACAGCGGCTGTGTCAATAGGTTCAAAAATAGGATGGTTGTGACGATAGCATAGGATTGAGCAGTGTTTTGTTCTGTTGTGCATAAGGTCTCTGTGAGTTGACACCGAATCAACAAGTGGAAGCCACATGCTACATTTGCATATAGATGTGAGAAACCTATTCTGAAGAGTAATAAGTTAATTACTTGTGAGATGGCGGTGGGAAAAGGAGAAATCATCATTTTAAAAAAATAAATGTTATTGCATGGAACCAACTTAAGGACAGCTAAAAACAACAACTTAGCAACAACAATTCCCAGTTAGGCAACATCAAGATAAATGGAGAAAATATTGAAATTACCAATGATTCCATTTGATTTTGATCCACAATCAATATACATGGAGTTAGCAGTCAGGAATCAAAATCACCTATTGCATTTGGCAAGTCTGCTACGAAAGAAGAATTGATGCCTTTGAATTATGGTATTGACAAAGACTATTATAATATATCATGGACTGCCAAAAGAACTAACATATCTGCCTTGGAAGAAATGCAGTAAGAATATGTCAAAATAGCAACGACAGTGAGAGTTCATCTCATGTACTTTGGACCTGTCACAGATGGGACAGTCTCTGGAGTAGGACATTATGCTTGATAACAAAAAAAGAGGAAGACCCTCAATGAGATGGATTAACTCAGTGGCTGCAAAAATGGGCTCAAACATCAGGATCCATTGTGAGGAACAACAGTATTTCCTTCTGTTGTATATAGGGTCTCTCTGAGCCATAACTGACTGGATGGTATTTAACAACAACTACTCCCAATTAGTCCCACATGGAGCCAGACACCATACTTGGTAAAATAAAGGGTCAGCCATAAAAAGGAAGACCCTCTATGGGGATGAAGTGACAAAAGTAGCTGCAAAATGGGCTAAAATATGGCAGCAATTGTAAGGTAAGCACAGAACTGGGCAGTGTCTTGTTTGGTTGTACTCATGGTTGCTATGAGCTGCAACCAACTACATCACACTTAACAACAATGACAACTCCCAGTCTAGTACAGCTTTTTCTGACACAGCTTTCCCCCAAGATAATACAGAGTTCTATTAAGTAGATCAGTTCCAGGCCTGTCTAAGAATTGGGGATAAGTCTGAGAAAAAGAAATTGACCGTTAGTAAAAACAAATCACTCTACCAAACACTTTAGGTGGTAAAGTAGAGGGTCTGGGAAAAAGAGGAATAGCCCCCAGTGAGATGGATTGGCACAGTGGCAACATCAGTGGACTCAAGTGAAGCAATGATTGTGAGGTTGGCCCGGGACTGAGCAGTGTTTTGTTCTGTTGTGTGTATGTAGGGTCGCTATGAGTTGGTACTGACTCAATGAACCTAACAACAAAACAAAAACAACAACAAAACAACTACAAGGCCCTGTTAGATTAAACCAGCTAGGAAAGGGCTTTAGAAGTGATATAATTATTCAAACCTGTGCAATAATTAATAACAAGTTATTTTTTATCCACATATTCAGTAAGTATTTAGCTACAGTTCCAGAGCTAATAAGTGATTGCTCACATTTCTTATGACAGACAAATTACCTGAGTCACCCATAATACTCCATGTGGAGATGGTACTGAAACTGGAAAAAACTCCCAGTTCCAAGAGACATGGTGGCAATAACCTCTTGGAATAATTCCTCTGCCACTGATTGCACCAACACCAAGGTTGCTGGTGACTGAGACTGGAGGAGGTGATGCCCCTACTCAGTGAGACAAAACACGCCTCCCCCTCCCCCCCCCCCCATGACCTAGAGCCCCAGCTTAAAGGAGGAGGACTGGCACAACCAAGGTTCGCCTGCAGTGGAGGCCAGCCTTTGAACATGGATCCCTAATTCTACAGTCTCAACATACTCAGAAAAACAAGCCAGAGATGAAATTAACGTGGTTGTGACCGCCCACAGCCTAAGTTCTTTCTCCACTACTCGCCCTTCTGAATCACTGGGCTATCTGCCTGCTTTCTTTAGCATTTCAGCTAAAGTTCAATTAAGACGATTTTAAAAATTTCCCAAGTTAACCATGAAGAGACTACTTTTAGACTGATACAAAGCCTGAAGCAAGTTTATAAATAATCAGCCAAGTACAGAAAAAAAAGGTAACGAGAAGAAGGGCCAGAAAAATGGGAGTGTGAAAAGAGGAAGACAAGCAGGGAACATTTGAAAATATTCTGTAGTATAGATAATACCATAGCATGCAAGAGTTAGAAATAACATAATTTTGAAAGTCATTCCATTTGAAAAGCACAAGAAATTTTGGGAAGTATATGCTTCCCTGGATGCACAGGATTAAGCATGTAATATCCACAGAAAGGTCAGCAGTTTGAACCCACCAATCACCCTGGGAGAGAAAGATGAGTCAGTCTACTTCTGACTGCCCCGCTGGGGCCGTTCCACTCGCTCCTAGAAGATCACTCTGAGTTAGAATAGACTCATTGGCAATGTGTAGGTTTTAGAATTTTAAGAAGATACTTAACAGTGTCAAGGGATTAGAAATGATAACTTGGGAATGTAGAGGTTTAGCAATTTTTAGTAACCCAAATAGCGTTTTGAGAGACTAAATGTAAAAGTGTAAGAACTTTTACTCACTTAAAAGTAACATTTTCAGAACTTTAAAAACAATAATTTCCAATGTTTAAGGGCATGGAGTCCTGGTGTGGTACTGTGGGTTAATGAGCCATTTGAACTACAAGGTCAGTGGTTGACCCTATACAGGATCAATATGGGTCGGAACCGACTCAATGGCATTTAACAACAACAACAACAACAAAAGTATGGTGACTAGAGAAGGAAAATGCTGCAAGGTTGACGGTTCAAACCCACCAAGCTGTTCCTTGGAAACCCTATAAAGGGTTGCTATGAGTCAGAACCCATTCAACAGCACGTAACAGCAAACATTTTCAATCTGTATCTTCTATACTCATTGTTTTCACTGTGATGCTCACTCCTCTTATATGTTCCTTTCAAATGGTGTGCTATTTTGTGACATCAGTGGTAATGACAAACCCAGTTTTCTGTAACAATTTTGTTAATTTGATGTGAACAATTAATTTTTAAGTTTTGATTAATCAGTGAGCCCTAGACCTAATGGCTTATCTGAGACACTGCTATTTCACATCCTCTTTCGTTAAGGTAACTTGACTCAACATTTGTTTAATGGCATGTCAATAGAATAACTTTGTAAAAGGATTACTAAACTGTATAAAGTTTTAGATTTTCAATACTGGATTTAAGAATTATGTGCAAATTGTTTATAATGTCTGAATGTTGAACATCAATAAAATCAGACAATGGGAGATATTTCCACATTAGATCTTTGAATTTTTTATCTGAAAGAAATATTAAGTATTAATTTTCTTCATGCGTAAGATGTTCACCCAGCTTGTTCATGGAACTCAAGTTCCTCATGCCCTTACTAGTGGTCTTTTCACTTGCTTTTCTTATTATAATTCCCTTTGGGATGTAGTCTCTACTGACCCCACTGCCATTAAGCCAATTGTGACTCAGGGTTCATTCAGGACAGAGTAGAACTGCTCCGTATGGTTTCCGAGACTTCGTGGAAGCATACTGCATCATCTTTCACCTACAGAAGAGCTGGTGAGTTTGAACTGTTAACATTAGCAGTCCAGTGCTTAAACTATTGTGCCACCTGGGCTCCTTGTTTTTGTTAAGTGCCGTCAAGTCCATCCCAACTCATAGCAATCCTGTATAGGGTTTTCCAAAGAGTGGTTAATGGGTTTGAACTGCTGAGTTTGCACTTAGCCATCCAGGGTCTTATCCTTCAGCTTCATACCAGGATTCCTTAGTTCGAAATATAAATAAAATTAAAATTTGCTGTCAGTAAGGCCTGTTTAGAACCCTGGTGTGCTGCTTTAGGCTAATCAGTGGACTACTAACCACAAGGTCAGCAGTTCAAACTTGCCAGTCATTCTTGGAAACTCTATACAGAGTAACCATGAGTTAGTACTGACTCGATGGCACACAACAGCAACAACAATAAGACTTCATAAACATCAATATCTGAAATGGACTGGTATTGATCATTTAGAATCTGACAACCACATGGCTTTACTATGCCAGGAATGACAAACTGAAGAGGAAAGGTATTGTATTCATCACCAAAAAGAATATTTCATGCTCTATCTTGATAGTTGAAATATAACACAGTCTATGATAGGATAATATCCATGTACCTACAAGGAGATCAATTAACACAACTATTATTCAAATTTATGCACCACTAAAGCCAGTGAATGATGAAATTGAAGAATTGTACCAATTTCATAAGCCTGAAATTGATCAAACATGCAATCAAGATGTATTGATAATTATTGGTAATTGAAATGCACAGGTTGGAAACAAAGAGGAAGAATCAGTAGTTTGGAAAATGTGGTCTTGGTGACAAAAATGATGCAAGAGATCTCATGGTAGAATTTTGCAAGACTGATGAATTCTTCATTGCATATACCTTTTTTAAACAACATAAAAGATGGCTATACACAGGATCTCACCAGATGCAATACACAGAAATCAAATTGGCTACATCTGTGGAAAGAGATGTTGTAAAAGCTCTATATCATCAGCCAAAACAAGGCCAGGGGCAAACTTGGGAACTAACAATCAATTTCTCATATTCAAGTTCAAGCTGAAGCTGAAGAAAATTAAAACAAGTCCACAAGAGCCAAAATATGACCTTGAACCTATCCCACCTGAGTTTTTATATCATCCTAAAAACAGGTTTGATGCAGTAGGCATTAAAGACTGAAGACCAGAATAGTTGTGGGATGACATCAAAGAACATCATATAGGAAGAAAGCAAAAGGTCATTAAGAAGACAAGAAAGATGGATAAGACCAAAATGGGTGTCAAAGAGACTCTGACACTCTCCAGCAAAGAGATGCTAAAGCAAATGGAAGAAATGAGGAGGTAAAAGGATGAATACAAGATTTCAAAGGGCAGCTCAAGAAGAAAAAGCCAAATATTATAATGAAATGTGCAGAGATCTGGAGCTAGAAAACCAAAAGGGAAGAAAACTGCTCAGCATTTCTCTAGCAAAAAGAACTGAATAAAAAATTCAAGACTTGGCTTGCAATATTGAAAGATTCTAAGGGCAATTGAAAATTGAATTTAAAATATTAAATTATGTAGAAAGCAACAAAAGAAGATGGAAGGAATACACAGAGTTACTGTACCAAAAAGAAACGGTCAATGTTCAACCATTTCAAGAGGTAGCATATGATCAAGACCGAATGATACTGATGGAAGAAGTCCAAGGTGTACTGAAGGCAGTGGCAAAGAGCAAGACTCCAGGAATTGATGGAATAAAATTGAAATCTTTCAACAAACTGATGCAGCACCAGAGAAATTCACTAATTTATGCCAAATTATTTGGAAGACAGCTACCTGGCCAACTGATGGGAAGAGATCCATATTTATGCCCATTCCAAAAATAAGTGACCCAACAGAATGTGTAAACCATAGGACAATATCATTAATATCACAGGCAAGTAAAATTTTGCTGAAGAGAATTCAGAAACAGATGCAACAGTACTGGAAGGGAACTGCCAAAGCTTCCAGCTGGATTCAGAAGAGGACATGCATCAAGGGATATCATTGCTGATGTCAGATGGATCTTGGCTAAAAGCAGAGAATACCAGAAATATGTGTACCTGTGCTTTATTGACTAAGCAAAGGCTTTCGATTGTGTAGACGAGGACAACCTATGGACAACATTGTAGAGAATGAGTATTCCAGAACACTTAATTGTGTTCATAAGGATCCTGTACATAGACCAACAGAAAGCTGTTTGAATAGAACAAGGGAATACTGAATGGTTTAAAATTAGCAAAGATGTGCTCCAGGGTTGCATTACTTCACCCTACTTATTCAATCTGTATGCTGAGCAAATAATTCAAGAACCTGGATTATATGAAGAAGAATATGTCATCAAGGTTCGAGGAAGACTCATTAACAACCTACGATATACAGATGATACAACCTTGTTTGCTGAAAGCAAAGAGATTGAAAATATGAATGAAGATCAAAGACCACAGCCTTCATTATTGGTTGCAACTCAATGTAAAGAAAACAAAAATCCTCACCTTTGTTCAATAGATAACGTCCATATCAATGGAGAAAAGATTGAAGTTGTCAAAGACTTCATTTTGCTTGGAGCAACCATCAACACTCATGGGAGCAGCAGTCAAGAAATTAAACAACTTATTGTGGAAAATTTACTCCATAAAGACCTGTTTAAAATGTTCAGTAGCAAAGATGTCAGTTTGAGAACTAAGGTGCATGTGAGCCAAACCAGGATATTTTCAGTAACCTCATATGCATGCAAAAGTTGGACAATGACTAAAGAAGACCATAGAAGAATTGATGCATTTGAGTTTTGACACTGGAGGAAAATATTAAAATTGCCATGGGCCACCAAAAGAACAATCTTCCAACAAATCTGTGTTGGAAGAAGTACAACCAGAATCCCCTTAGAAGCCAGAATGGTCAGCCTTGGTCTCTCATATTTGGGATTCATGATCGGGAAGGACCAGTCCCTGGAGGAGGACATCATGCTTGGTAAAGTGTAGGGTCAGCAAAGAAGATGAAGGCCCTAATGAGATATATCGGTGCAGTAGCAACAGCAATGGTCTCAAGTGTAGCAACGATTTTGAGGTTGGGGCAGAAGTTGCCAGTGTTTTGTTCTGTTGTGCATAAGGTCACTATGATTCAGTACTGACTTGATGGCACCTAAAAACAAAAGAAACGGGAGCCATGGGCTAGATTTTCATTTAGATGTGGGAAACCTCTTCTGAATGGTAATAAGTTAATTAATTGTGAAATGGAGGGAGTAGAGAGAGAAATAGTACTTTTGATGTGTTATTGCATTATAAAATATTAAATGGCACCAATAAAAAATATTTGGATCAATGATTTTCACAAATGAAACCAACTTGTGTACCAGCACCTAATCAAGAAACAAAATATTTCCAGAATCTTAAAATCCTCCTTGTGCACCCAAAACAGTAATCCTGACTTCTAACACTATAATGAGTTCCATTTGTTTGTTAACCTCATATAATTGTATTCCTAGATCTTGTTACTTTTTTAATTGTCCATATTCTTTCACTCACCACCATATTTGGGAGATTCGTCTCCCATTCCATCTTATTGCTATTATGAATTCCATATTCTACACTAAATGAACATTTGGGTTGATTCTAATTTGTGTCTACTATAAATATTCCTGCTATGTTCACTCTAATAAGTAATGAGTATACAAAGGCATTGAGTTTTTAATCTTGGACATATTGAAAAGAGACAACTCACCCATCATACATTTCATGTGCAGGTACCTTGGATAAGCATAAAGAATTGGAAGACCTTGTGGCTAAGTTCCTGAATGTAGAAGCAGCAATGGTCTTTGGGATGGGATTTGCAACTAACTCAATGAATATCCCTGCACTAGTTGGAAAGGTAAGACTGAGTAAACAAAATTAGCATCTCATGTATTATTCCTAAGAATTATAACTCTGAGTAGGTCCTTTGGTAGAAGTATAGATATTACTTCTAGAAAAAGCCTATTGCGTATCCAACTTTTTGAATAAATATACCTCTTAGTCTAACAAATCTTTTTATCATGATATTCCTGGCTACATAATTGAAGCCCTAGATGTGAACCAAAATTAATCTTCAAAGATGTTTTAGCAAAGTCATTTAGCTTTTCTAAGGCTCCCAAGCCCCATTTGCAATGTAACCAACAAATATTTATTAAGCATTTACTTGGCATGAAACGTTTGCCACTGTCAGAAGTCATGGTATGGCACTGTAAGATAAGTACTGGACCACAAAGGTTGGTGCTTCAAATTCACCAGCTGCTCCTCAGAAACCCTATACAGGGTTGCTATGAGTTGGAACCAACTCAGTGGCACTTAACAACAACAATTTGTTAATCTGTTCAGTCAGTAAACCTCTTATATAGAATCTATTCTGTTCAGATATGAGACAGGGTAAAATGTAGGACATACAGAGACGACAAGCTCTATATCTTGCAAATTGTGCCATTTATAGTCTAGTAGTGGAAACAACACATAAAATAAAATAGGATGACTGCTATGAAAAACCAAAAGTTATGCACATACATGGGAAAGGAAAAAAGAATTGCCCTAAACTCTTGATGAAGTCTGAGATACCTGTGCAAAGCAGGTAACATTATGATAGAATCTTAACAAATAAGTTCTTTCCTTAAGATACTAAAAAAGTGATACCATGTGTAACCACAGAGGTTCTGGAGGAACTAAAACATAGGTCCTGGTGAAAGACAAGACCAGAGATGAAGACCTTAATGGTATAAATCATGCTAAAGTATGTGAAATTCATCCTGAGCAAAACGGGCTGTTGATTCATTTTAAGTTAGCAAGTGTGACAATTAGATTTGTGTTTAAAAACTATGACTCATGATAACTAAATACAATATGTGATATTTAATTGGCTTCTTCATTTTAAACAAAAGAGAAAGTAAACAGCCACCAATGACATTATTACTACATCTGAGGACGTTTGAATTTGAACAGTGTGTTAAGTGATAGATACGTATCTGCCACAGAGTCACATCTAACTCATGGTGTCCTAGGTACAGCAGAAAAAAAATGCTGCTCAGTTCTCCATCATCTCACACTCAACAGCATGCTCAGTTGAGTGTGCATCTGTTACACCCATCCATCTCACTGAGGGCCTCCCACATCCTCACTAGCCCACTACTTCACCAAGCATGTTGTCTTCCTCCAGCGATTAATCCCTACTAATGACATGTCAAAAGCAATCAATTTGGACACTTATGTGACCCAAAAGTTGGTTAACTTTTGGAAGTAGGTCTCCAGGCATTTCTTCCTAGTCTGTCTTAGTACATGGATGCTCTAATAAACCTCTCCATCATTGATGATCCCATTGCTATTTACAATGCCTATGGTATGACTCCCAACATCACAGCAACCATACAAGCCACCACATAGAATAAATGGACAGTGGATGATAGCATTTGATGATGATGTTGTTGTTAGGTACCATTGAGCCAGTTCCAATACACAGATACCCTGTATACAACAGAAGGAAACATTGACCTATTCTGCACCATTCTCACAATCTTTGCAGTATTTGAACTCATCACTGCATCCCCTGTGTCCATCTATCTCATTGAGGATCTTCTTCTTTTACGTTGATCGTTTACTCAACCAAGCATGGTGTCCTTCTCCAGGGACTGGTTCCTTCTGATAACATACTTAATATACATAAGCCAATGTTTTGCCAGTGCTTTTAAGGAGCATTCTGCTATACTTTTTCCAATGCAGATTTGTTGTTTTTCTGGCTGTCCATGGTAGATTCAGTTTTCTACTTTTGTATTTCTTATTCATTGTCCAGCTTCCACATACATATGAAACAATTGAAAATACCATTAGTTTGGTCAGGGGCATGTTGGTCCTCAAAATGACGTGACTGCTTTCTAATACTTTGTCTTTTATAGCAGATTTGCTGAGTGGGATATGGCATTTGGTTTCTTAACTTCTGCTTCCAAGAGCACTGATCATACATTCAAATAAAATGAAATATTTGACATCAATATTTTCTCTATTTATCATGATGTTGTTTATTGGTCCAATTGTGAGGATTATTGTTTTCTTTATGTTGAGGTAGCAAGCAAGGCTGTATTATTTGCATATCACATGCTGTCAATGAGCCTTCCTCATTTGTTCAATCCTGATTTGTTCTTTTTTATAAATTTTCATATATCCCAGCTTCCCAGATTTGCTCAGTTTACAGGTTTTATAATTATAGTGAAACAATACAACCTAATGCACACCTTGCCTGATTTTGAGCCATGCAGTATCTTATTCTGTTTAAACACATGCCTCTTAAACAAATGTCTGTGCACACGTTTCATATGAGAATAATTAAGTGTTCTGGAATTCTCATTCTTCACAATGTTATCCTTAATTAGTTATGATCCACACAGTTGAGTGCCTTTGCATAGTTAATGAAATACAAATAAACATCTTTCTGATATTCTCTTTCTTCAGCCAAGTTCTATCTGACATCAACAATAATAGCCCATTCACCTATCCTCTTCTGATCTGTTTTGAATTTCTGGCAGTGCCCTGTCAATATATTGCTGCAACTGTTTTTTAATTATCTTCAGCAAAATTTTACTTGAGTGTTAAGTCATTGATACTTGATAATGTCTGCATTCTGTTGGATCACTTTTCTTTGGAATGGGTCAAATGTGCATATCTTCCAATCATTGACCAGACTCCTTTCCAAATTTCTGTGCTCCCAATTTTGGAATTATATGTTGAATCACCTCAATTATTATTCTTGAATTCCTGAAGCCTTGTTTTAAGCCACAACACCATTTGTGATCTGAAATGGTTATATATCGACCATTCTTACAGTACAATTAACTGTGTATTCCTTCCTTCTTCTATTGATATTTTACCCCTAGAATCCTTCAATATTGAAAATTGAGGTTTGAATGTTTCTCAGCTCTTTCAACTTAAAGAAATATCATCCATGTCATCAAGGTCAAGTTTGGTTTGAGAAGACAGCTCTTTCCTTATCCTTATTTTGAATGCCTGCCAACCTGAGGGGCTCATCTTCCAGCACTATGTCAGACATTGTTCCTCTGCAGTTAATAAGATCTTCAGTGGCTAACCATTCAGAAGTGGTCTACCGCTCCTTTTTCCTAGTGTGTTTTAGTTTGAAAGGTCCACTGAAGCCTGTTTACCATGGGTGACTCTGCTGGTATTTACAATAGCAGTTACATAACTTCCAACATCACAGCAACACAAAAGTCACCACAGTACAACAAAATGACACATTATGGAAAAATTATTTTGTTGTCGTTAGGTGCCACAGTTAGTTTTGGCTCATAGTGACCCAGTGCACAACAGAAAGAAACATTGTCTGTTCCTTCACCAACTTCTTGAAATAGTTGATCATTTCCTTTTGGTATAGTGACTGTGTATTCCTTTCATCTTCTTGGGATACTTACTGCATCATTCAATATTTTTCCTATAGAATCCTTCAGTACTACAAGTTGAGGATTGAATGCTTTTCTTCAGTTCTTTCAGCTTGAGAAATGCTGAGTGTCTCCTTCCCTTTCAGTTTTCTAATATTCTCTATGCTCAAGAGCAAATTTCAGAGTCTCTTGTCTGCATCCGTTTTACTTTCCTTTCTTTCCTGTCTTTTAAATGATCCTTTGCTTTCATCATGTGTGGTGTTCTTGATATCATCCCACAAAGTCTAGGTGGCTACAAAAGACAAATGTCAATTAGAATTTTATGAAAGTTATGTTTTTATATTTTATAAAAGTTAGATGCATGCTTTGGTTGTTTAAATTATTATATATTCCTGAGTGTTTTTGTGTACATCTCCCCACCTCCACCCCTCAAAAAAACACAAAAAAACCTAGAGGGAATAGAAGCAAATACTGTTGAACGATGCATGGAGGAGACCGTAATCATTGCAATGAAATGATGAGTGAAAAACTGTTGTTCTACCATGTTAACTATTACTCAATTCACAATAAAAATGTTTAAAAAAATCAGAGGCATATTTGATATGCTGAACAATTTTGTAATTTCAAATTTAAAAATGAAATTATAAAATACTTTCACAAACAGTGATTTATAAGCAGTAAATCATACTGAATTTTTCTACTCAAATTGAGTTGCCATCTATACTTTGCCAAATCTGCAGTTTTTAACTTTAAAGCATTGACACTTCTTTCTACATGGAATGTTAAGCAGTGAAGAATAACAATGTGAAAAAATATTTCAAAACAAGCTTGCAATATCTTGCAGAAATATGTTGATCCTCCCCCCTACCTTCTAGTATTAGTAAAGCAAAACCATTCCAAAGAATCCAGCATTGGACAGAAGGGTTCCAGTAAGTTAACCCAAAAATCGTATTAGTTTTTCTGTGCAACATCAGTCCTTTTGAACTTTACTAATGATTGACCAGTGCTTGACTCAGTGGGTGAGCAATTTCTCTGTGGATAACATGTAAATACTATGCAAAGATGTAATTTCTCCAAACAATGCCTGTCTCTGTCAGCTAATTACTAGAAGAGTTTTATCCATATAGAACTAGGTTAAATTTCTTGCAAAAATTAAAGAGGAATTTAAGAATCTGTACTATAGGTATCTTTCTATTCCTACACATTGTTTTTCTTTGGTTTTACTTACTGGCTTGTGTGCTAAATCTCTTCACAGGGATGCCTCATTTTAAGTGATGAGCTAAATCACGCATCTCTTGTTCTTGGGGCTCGACTCTCAGGTGCAACCATAAGGGTCTTCAAACACAACAGTGAGTACCAATGTGTTTATTCAACATGTGTTGGCTTACTTCTAGAAAAAAAAAGTAAGGATTATTGATGGGGTTTTGCCCTTGCTCTTCAAACTGGGAACTTAACCTAAAACACACTATGTGTCAAATTGCCAATAAATTTTGTCTGATTTATTGAACTCTCTTTTCCAACAAAGTTATGTTTATATTCACTACTGTCTTGTTAACCTCTAATGACCTAGAACAAATGGTTGAAGTGCATCAAACATCCAGATTGCTAAGTGTAACCCAAACACATTAGTGTCATTGTTATTAGTAGGTTTGCAATGCAGTTTCTGAAGTCATGGTTGATCTCTTAGGAACTGCCATTTAACTATCAAAAGTATTACGTATCTGCACTTTCTATAACTCTGCCTTCAGAAAGTTTGAAGGCTTGTTTAAGCTTTGTATTATAGTCGGTAAAAACTGATCTGTTCTTTAGCATTATGCCTCCTTTGATTCTTCCTGCCCACAGATCGCTCACTCAACCCCTCACACAAATGTTTATTCAACTTTGTTGCAATACTTTTTCAGGCTTAGAGCAATGTGGTTGGGTGACGAGGAGGAGGCAAAAGGCTATTTCTTCTTTTGCAGCTTGACACTGTAGCATGGATTAGGAAGTACTTTTGAAGGAGGTGACAATGGACAGCTGAGTTCTCTTGTGTGGCTCTGCCACTGCCTTGCTCTGTCACTTGTGTAAATAGGGGCTTCAAAAAGTCTGTGGTAAATTGTTGTCTTTTAATTCCATTTTTCCACAAACTTTTTGAAACCCCTACATATTTCTTGCGCTCAGTTTCATCAGCTGTAAAATGGGAGTGATGACCTATATGATGTATAAGGATCGTCCTAATTCAGACTTTGTCTTAATCTAAATCCTTATTGTCATCACAATTTTCTCTTCTACTCACAGACACACACCACACACACACACACACACAATTTTTGTTACTTTCTTCCTTTTCACCCTCTTTCTCTCCAACTTTCCTTCCACAACACACTTTCCCCAGTTCCTTTTGCTTGGCACTCCTCTCTATCCTCTAAGGTGGTAACAGAGGTTGAAGTAAAGAGAAAAAGCATGAGTAATAACTGAAGGAGTATTGTTCCAGTTCTGTTCTGCCTACTTCACAGAAATCTCAAATTCAAGTTTAGTGGTTCCATGTGAGGAGGAATGAAAATGCATGGGAGTAGTCTAAAGTGGAAGGAGCTCTGGTAGCATAGTTGTGATGAATTGGGCTGCTACTTTCCCAGTCAGCTGTTTGAAACTACCAGCTGTTCCGTGGGAGAAAAATCTCTGCCCCTGGCAAAGATTTACAGCCTCTGAAATCCTGTGCTGGGTCACTATGAGTCAGACCCGACTCCATGGCACATAACCACAAACACCATCACCAGCCTAAAGTCGACTCTCTTTTGTCCAATCTGCTTCTGTTAAGGTTATAGCAAAAAATATAATTAAATAAACAAAACCCTCTATGGGGCAATGCTACTCTGTAACACATGGGATTGTCATGAGTCAGAATGAACAAGAGGGCAATTAACAAAAACAGAATTGTTTTAATGAAAAATTCCTTGCTCTCTCTGAAAAAAGTGAGGTCACCCTATGCCTTTATTGAAACACTTTCAGAGCCTGGGAGAACCAGACAAGGGGATCCATCAGACTTGGAGTTCAGTTAAGACATCTAGCTCAATGTCAATTTAAAATGTTTAGTGCTATTTTGTATGTTTGCATCAAACATTCAATCCTGAATTTAGTCAAGTTAACTTTCTTGAATTCCACCTAATTTATTGTTGCTTGTCACATCTAGACTCAAACTATTTTAGCATTGTTGGGAAATTATGTTTGGAGCAACCATCTTATAGCTGTCTTAGAAGTAAATACATTAAGAGACTATGGGACACAAGTGTGTTGTGACCTTTTTATTCTTTACCATTAAAAGGAATTTGTGATCAGATGTTCTGTCCACTTTGAACAATGAAGTTCAGACAATAAAGATAATAATTGACAATTATTCTGCTCTGGTTCCATCCATGTATATAGATAAACATGATGCTCCCACATTCAGAGACAGACATATACAGAGTTTGTTGTCTGTATGGAGCAAATTATCTGTATCATTATAAATGTCACTCTCTATTTCTTTATTCCATTCTACTAAAACCAGTGGTCATTTACCTAGTTATACAATAGAGGCATCTGTGGAACATCTATGAAAGATCAAGGATTAGGTCTACTCCAGTTTAACTGAATCCGAGTACATGAGAGTGCAGATTTTTCAGAGGTCCCCATATGATACTGATGCATAATGGGGAATAGAATAGGTAGAATCTTGCTTTTCAGCTTCCCTTTGTCTAGGCTCTCCTTTCATCTTGTCAATCTATCTCGGCATATATCTCCAGACACACAGTACCATATTAACAACCCTCATTCTTCCCTGCACCATAACTAGTTCTCTTTTTCTTAAGTTGGCAAAGGGAGTAAAACAAAAATACAGAAAAAATATTCTAAGCCATAAACTATGGAGCATTTGTCAATGACCTATTCTGTGTCAGGCAATGAGATGAACCTTGGAAGAGCTATTAAAATAATTGTAGCTTGGAATTTATAATCTAATGAGAGACAGAGATGTATACAAGTAACTGTATCCTGTGTTAGGGGCCTAATTTATTTCAGGCAGTGGTTAAGAGCACCATCTTTGACCATAGTAACTTTGCACATCCACTAAAATAAATGAAATAAAAATGACGACAACATCCAATTTAGGCAAAATAAGGAGCAACAACACTTATCTATCTCTAATGGAGTGTAAAATTGTGTATTTTTATAAAGCTTTATAAAAAGCTTATAAAGATAAATATTTATCTACCTTGTTGTTGTTGTTAAGTGCTATCAATTCAGTTCTGATGAGTAATAACCCTGTATAGTGTTTCTAAGGAATGGCTGGGGAGCTTGAACACCAGATCTTGCAGTTCAAACCAATGCAATCCAGAGCATTAACCCACAGTGCCACACTAGGACTCCTTACTTCTATATCTAGGTATTTGCCCAAGAGGAAAGAAAGCTTATGTCCATAAAAAGACTTAAACAAGATACTTGTTTTTATGAATGAGTCAGTTCCAAGTCATAGCAACAATGTATAGGGTTTCCAAGGAGCAGCTGGTGAGTTTGAACCGCTGACCTTGTAGTTCAAAGTGACCTTGAGGTCACGGCACCACATAGCAGCTATATTCACATTAGCCAAAAATTAAAAACAGCCCAAGTGGCTATTAACAAGAGGGTGGGGGAAAAATGTGGCATATTGATGAAATGTAATACTATTCCATAATAACAAAGGAAAAAACTGTTGATACACACAACATGGATATAGCTCAAAAATTATCTGGAGTGGAAAAAACTATACACCAACAATATATGTTGAATGAATCCACTTGTAACAAATTCAAACAGACAAAGCTAATTTACAGAGATAGAAATCATAACAATGCTTTTGGGGGAAGGAATTGATTAGATTTTCTGGGATGATAGAAATGCCTGATAGCTTAATCATTATGATATTCATATTTTTATTAAACTCATTGAAATACATTCTTAAAATCTATGTATTTCCTTGTAAGTAAATTTTACTTTAAAATATTGTTGCCATACAAGAACCAAACCTGGTGTCATCAAGTCTATGCAGTCATGAGCATATTTCCAGTACAAACAAAATTAAGACCATTAATATATTATTAAAACAGAAAAATACATGCTTTATTTAACCCAAGCATTTGTATTTTCTTTTCATAGCTTACTAGCATATTTGTTTTGCTGTTGTTATGTGCTGTTGAGTCGGTTCCGACCCATAGTGACCTTGTATAGGGTTTCCATGGAGCTGCTGGTGAGCTTGAACCACCGACTTTGAGGTTTAAACCAACACTGCAGTCCAGTGCATGAACCCACAGTGCCACACCAAGATTCCTATTAACACATTTGTTGTTGTGAAGTGCTGTCAAGTCATGGTCCTAGGTAAATTACACTACCTTCCAGGATCTCAATTTACTTATTCTGTAAATGAGGATAATTGCTATACATGATGCATAATATGTAGGAGAGGACCTACAAAGTACTTAGCATGGTGTCTCATAATAGACACTACTGAGTGACTTATAGCTACTGTATAATTACTATTATTATTATTATCCATTATTGTCATCATAAGGAGCCCTGGTGGCACTGTAAAATAAGCACTGGACTACTAAACACTGGTCAGCAGTTCAAACCCACCAGCTGCTCTACAAGTGAAAAATGAGGTTTTCTGCTCCTATAAAGATTTACAGCTCAGGAAATCCTATACAGGGTTACTATGATTCAGATCCTACTCAATGACACCTAACAACAACAACAACAACATCTTCATAATCAGTGTCAATAAGACAATAGAAAGCGTAATAATAAACCCAAAGAATGCAAAAGTTATTTTACTTTGGAATTGTGTGAATGGATGGTATTTACAATGGACTTTACAGGATTGAGAGAATTCTAATCAGGAATGAAAGAATATTTCAAGCAGAAGTAATAATCTGGGATATGCAGAGAGCAGCAAGAAGTCCCATGTTGTCTGAGTGTGGTGTTTAATTACTGGAGAATAGTTTAGAAACTAAGGCTGTGGCTGGATAATGGAAAGCCATTAAGACCTATGTATAAACTAATAAGTGCATATAAACTAAGCTGTGAAAACTAAGACAGATGTACATCAAGAAGCGCTAAACAGTACCTGGGTAGTTCTATTTGACATCATGATGTTTCCTGGATGACTTGACTTTGACAATGCACTTAATAGCCTTTCCTTATGTCCAGTGGAGATGGAAACAGAAATACAAGCTTGGAGTTACGTTAAAAGTTTGAACAGTATTGTTTCCTTTTTTATCTAGTGCTGCTATAACAGAAATAGCACCCTTGGAGAGTTTTAACAAGCAGGAATTTATTCTTACACAATTTAGGAGGCTAG